TTTTTAAATATATTTATGAAATTAATAATCAAGAAAAAAAAAAAAAAATAAAAAAAAATTAATAATTTTCCAAATTTACTTTTTTGTTGCTCATTTAATGATATTTTATGCATATATATGATACATACATACACATATCTATATCTATTTATCTATATACACAATTACCGAACATCTATTTAACAATTTTTTTCATTCCCCCATTAAAATGAAGGAAAAAAAAAACTTTATTTAAACCCAGAGTTAGCAAACTACTTCGCCAGTTGTATTTTTATTATTATTAATTTGGATAAGAAAAAAATTGGATTTGTTTTTAGTGTCGACATCTGCTACAATTATTAAACATCGAGCATAAATTGAAAAAGCATCTGCAGAACGTGGCTAAAAATCGTCCAAAATAAAAAAAAAAGTCATCGAAAGCCATTTCTTTTTATATAAATTCCTACTATTAGATCACTCTCTCCCTATATATATTTGTTTATATATATATATATCTTGTTCAAATTTTCAATCGTTAATAAAATACTTTCTATTCATCCATTCAAGTTCAAATACATTTTCTTAAAACTTGTAGTGAAACATAGTTAATACATTTTTTCAAATATTAATTCATTGATTAAAGTAAAAAATGAATAAATAGTAACAAAAAAAAAAAATAGTAGTCCAACAACATATATTGAAAGGAAAACCTTTCGGTGTATACCTGTAGCGCAATGGATAGTACGTTGGACTTCTGATTCAAAAGTCGTGGGTTCGATTCCCACCTGGGATGGCCTAATTTCTGAGAATGTGATTTCTTTTTCCCAATACTATTTTATTGGAATAATTAAATTTAATTAATGAATAAATAGTATAACAAAAAAAAAAATAGCCCAACGCCCTCTATATAGAAAGGAAAATGAAAAATTGCAAGGAAAATCGTTTTCTATTTTGTCACTCAATATAGTGATTCTGTCGTATGCACCGAAAATCCGGCGTTGGACATAAAAAAATAAAAGAAAAATTTGGACATAAAAAAATAAAAGAAATTTACGGGTGCGCTTTATACGCCGGGTACTCTGAAAATAATATGAATTTTTTAAAAAAAAATATAGTTCAGACTCTTTAGAGAAGTCTTTACTTTATATAAGCACACACACACAAAATATTTTAATTTTAGAAGCATTTTTTTTATAAAAGGAGAACATTTTGAAAAAAGGTTATTCTAAGTTAATTTTTTGCCAAAATATTGTATTTAAATAATTTTTTTTGCCATAATGTCCTTAAAACAATTTTATACATGTATTCTAATCTTAAGTGACACTAAATATCATAAATATTATCCATTTATGCGCGTTTTTAAAATCACGGTTCCGAACGTAGTCGGATACCTTAAGATCTAAAAAATACCGAGTACCAGTGTTGAACTTTTGGTCCGATATTGCAATCCCTATTGGCAAGTCATTCCGTGATGCATTAAATCTATGCCACCCTTCATAAATCGTAGTGCCTAGAGATCGGTGTCACACTGGTATTTCAGAATCTGCATGACCAGATGTTTCAATGAATGAGATTTGGAGAGAATGCTAGCAAGGCAACAGCAGAACACGCTCTGTGTCAATGATCGTCAGGAGAAATTTTGTAGCGGGTACGTGGTCTTTACGTTTTTCGACACTCTCCACATAACCAGGACAGATCTCAAAAGGGGATGTGATGCTGTGTACAATTTTGTCGTTGGGAACACCACTGTGGTAGTGCGCTTCTAAGTTGCAGTGGCAAGGGAAATCACAATAATGGTCATCGTGCAAATAATCCATGCTGCTCTAGACGTCATCGTACTGTCTGTGTGGATACTTGTCGTGCTGTAAATAAATTCCCTTCCTGACTCAAGTTCCATGTTGCGGCTGTACCACACTGTGATAAGACCTGACAGCATGTTTGTTCTCTAGGGCAGGGATGGCAAACCTATGACCCGTGGGCTTAGCTGACCCGCAAGCACTGAGCCGATTGCTAGGCAACCACTTGTTTTGTTTACGCGAAGTTTATTTAAATTTTCCTGGTGGTAGTGGACCTTTTGTATTCCATTTCGATTTTCAAGCCATTGACAAAAGCAATTTCCCCAAATGCTGTCATAACCTTTGATTTGATGTACAGTTCAAACACTGGCGTGGCGTAGTCTGAGTGGACTGAATCCAGGAATTACAGGTCCCTTTTGGTGGGCTCTCAATATTTTGCGATCTCTTCTTACTCTCATTTAGGTCCCTGAAGCTTGAGACATCGTGTGTAATGACACACCCTTAGTTCAAAGCTACGCAAACGACAACAAATTTATATATGAAAGGTATGTAGTGATTTGAAATGTAAAGCAAACGTGTTTACAAAAAATATCAAAGTGCAACTCACGGTAGTTTTGTCAGTATATTTAAAAGCACTTTAATCAGTTATGTTTGTAGAAAGAGACTCCCATAGCACCCTTTTTTACCCATTATAAGGCAATTGAATTTAAAGATGTTAAGTTTTAAAAATACTCAGTTAAAATTTTTAAAATCTAACTCTGGTGCAAATGGGCATTAGTGACCCACGCGTTAGTACTAAAAAAAAAATATGAACAAAATTTGACCCCCGTCTCAAAAAGGTTTGCCATCCCTGCTCTAAGGCGTTATTCACAGAAGGCCGTTGAGATTCCGTATGAAGTTCAGTATACCCCCTGAATATACCGATTCAATAACATGTAACCTTGTCACTGGATTTCACAATCAATGTGGTAGCTGCGTATCATGGAATAATAAGTAACACCCCGTGGCCGAGTTTATACAGTGACGTGTGCTGGTAGCCGTTTATCCTTTTTATACGAGACATAACACGATCTTATCACAAACAAACAACATTAAAATGACATTTTCTAATGAGAAGCTCGCAGATTTAATTCCCATGTATACAAAGGTGCCGTCCCTCCTTCCTGGCCAATCTGGTTAATCTTTATGCGTGAATTTTAATTGCCTTTTCCTCCATCATATTATCCTCTGAAATATTTTTTGGAAACTGCAATTTTTCATTCCATCTGAACAATTAGTGTTGAAAATACAACAATACCTCGACTTATGCGAACTCGGAGTAATGCGATTTTCAAATCTCGTCGATTCGTCTTTTGTTTGACTGCTACACAACTCGATTACTCACTCCTAGCTTCCTGTTTAGTGAGTTTTTAGTGATTGAAGAAGTTGTCGATCTTACCAGGTATAAAAATTTAGAAGTGGGTAGTGATGATGTTCCAGAACTGCTGGATTCTCACAATAATCAGGAGTTGACTATTAACGAGCTCATAGAAATCCATAAGCAAGAGCAAGACGTTAAAAAACTTGAGTCTTTAGAACTTGTTTAATCGGAAGATAGAATGACAGTTGGGAATTTGACAGAAAAACACGATATTTTTCGCTTAATGTTCAAAAAGAAACTGAGTGTATATTTTATATTTCTTCATCTACTACAAGAATTCAGACTTTGATATATCTAGTTGTGACGGGCTCACGCGTCTTTTCATTAACATGTCCTTTGGGTTGTTTTGGGGCCAGAATTATTAGCTCTTTTCAACAAAACCCAGGAGTGAAACAGGAAGAAGATAAGATGCAAATTAGATAGCTTTTAAATATCAGAAGTTTCAGTAAGCGAGATGGCAATTTGGGGAATGATATGATAGAGACTGATACAATTGTAAAGTGATAGCCAACAGAGGTTATCCCGAAGATAGAACCGTATTAGGTCAGGTGCATACTATTGTACTCGGTGAGAAGCGCAACTCTCTTATTGGTCGGCAATCGGATCAAGGTAGGATTGACTATTTAATATTAGGACATGATATTATTGGAATAGAGTTCAGACGGGTTATATATATTGATAGTGGTCTGGGTTACGTAAATTCATTATTACGTATTGATATAGTAATGTTTGTCATCGAGTAGATTCTCTTATACTTATATTATTATCATCTAATCTCTGTTGTTAAAGTTTAAGTTTAAATTCTTAATAAGGTACTTATATTAAGGTATCAAACTACGTTCGAACCAAGTGATTCAAAAAGCGCATAAATGGATAATTTTCATGATATTTAGTGTCCTCCAGATTAGAATACATGCATAAGGTATTTTAAGGACATTTTTGACAAACAAAGTACATTTAAAATACAATATTTTGGCAAAAGGTAACTTAGAATAATCTTTTTTCAAAATATTCTCTTTTGTGAAAAAATACTTCTGTATTAATATTTTGCATGTATATAGCTCGGTCCTCTCTGAGAATCAACTAAATTTTTGAAAATTACACGTATTTTCAGAGTTACCACACCAATTGAAATAATTTTTTGGCGTTTTTGTAAATGGCTCCCTCTGTTGATAAGTAAAATATGGATAAAACTTCTAAGTTATGTATTTCAAGATTCTGAAGTTGAGCCTCTGTAGAGAGGTCTGAGCCTGTTCGAGCAAAAATATTAAGCCAGAAGCATTTTTCACAAAAGGAGAACATTTTGAAAAAGATTATTCTAAGTTCATTTTTGCCAAAATATTGTACTTAAATAACATTTTTGTCAAAATGTCATAAAACTGGAGAATTTTATACGTATGATTCTAATCCTAAAGTGACATAAATAATAGAATTATAAATTTGTGCGCTTTTGCAAAATCACGGTTCGAACGTTGTCGGTTTCTTAAGAAAATGGTTACGTCTAGTCCTTTTGCTTCAATCTACACCTCTAGCGCAGGGCTCCAATTTCAAGAAAAGGCACCCTAAGGGGGTTAATTTCATAGTGTATCAGATAATAATTTATATAAAATAGAGTTCAAAAGGAATTCCTACTTGCAGGTGCAGCCTAGGCACAAGTCAAAAAACATAAAAAGCAACTTTCATCTTCACGGTAAGACAGGACGTTCAGAATCTGGTATTCTTTAGGATATAAGTGATTCTCTCCACTTGTGTTTGCTCCATGTATATACAGATATATACCTGAACAATTGTTTTCCGTTTGATATTCCAAGCAATAACAAATGAATCTTTTACGGCTTAATTGCGTTCTAAAATAGAACAGATTTAAGTTCACCTTTGTTGAGCCTTCTCTAAAATCGATTAGGCAAACTGTTATTTTTTTAAAGTTTGACGTTAACAATGCCCCATATTGGTAAGCATCTCTGTTTTTAAAGTTTCGTTTTTCTCAAGACTTTAAAAAGCAGGAGTATTAAAAAGTGATTTGTTTTTATGGTTCATAATGGTATACATATGGGCTGGCGGACTTTCAAAAGAATAACGAATTTTTTTATGTTAGGGTTTTGGCTTATGAAAAAAGCACTTTCAAAACAAGAAAAACATAAAGCCTATTTTAAGTCTTTTTGAATGAATGATTTTTAATGGCATTTCTTTGTTGCTTTTTTTTGTAGTGACGAAATAAAACCGCGTAAATATCATCATTTTTAGAAAAAAAGAAAAACTAGGAGAATTTCAAATATAAAATTAATTTTAAAAAGTTTTTTTGGCTTAACTACTATTTTAATTCTAAAGGTTTTGGAATAATGACAAATTCTGAATCTTATTTTCATCGATATTCCCTTGACTATTTAGTATAATCTACTTGTAACTCAAAAGATAAAAATTGTAATGAAATTATATTGTTTGGGAAAAACCTAATTTAAGGAACACAAAATAAATAAGTAAATAAATAAGTATTGTGTGTGCTTCTTTCTTGAATCATAGATGCTAATTTAACTTCTCTAATGCGTTAGAAAGTGAAAATGATTTAAAATACATATA